TTATATAAAATTTCTAGCCTACTTCGCGGTAAAGTAGTATATAGGCCCCTACCGAGTATTTACTTATATACTTCTAAAAAAGATATTCTAGAGACGGATCTTCTATCTACTATATATAGAGATATTCGTTATCTATCTTTAATTATACCTCGGTAGGATCTACTTTAATTTAAAGCCTCTTAATTAATCGGATATATTAGTAAGCGTGACTTTAAACGCTCTAGAGCTTATATATATACTAAGCGAGTCGCTTCTAGTAAATTAATCGCTAAGAAGCTCGCTTCTTATTACCTAAAAGCTAAATTTGCTTATCTATCTTAGCTAAGAAATTAGATATTAATTTCTAAATATCCTAGCTGCTTTATATATTACTACTTCCTATATAACCGGTTTTAAGTATTATAGGATTATATTTATCTTAAAACTTTCTAAGTATATAAGATTTATAGTAAAATCCTTATTTAATTCGATAATTATATATAACCTCCTAGAAGTAAAAGATATTCCTATAGGCTAATATTCCTAGAGTAGAGAAATAATTCTATCCGAATATTTAGTTCTAAGTCGCTATCCGTATTCTATATTTTATAATATAGTTGATTCCTATCTTAAAAATATATATATAGTACTCTTCTATCTTAGGCTTTTAGGAACTTTTTTAAGGTTATATATATAAGCTAATACTTTCCTAGTTCTAGCCGTCGTAAGGAAGGTAAAGGGATATAAGATATAAACTCTAGAAACCCCGGGCTATCTATTAGCGTTAAGCTCTCGACTTTCGCTAAAGTAGCTATTATAATTTTAAGGATATTATCGTCTTTAGAGGTCGGCTTAGAATATATTCTATTAATCTTAAAAAACTTTAGATTTAATCCTATAGCCTAGGCGGTAGTAATACCCTAAAGTACTATCTTAAGATAAGTAAGAAGTAAGTTCCTAAGAAATATACGATTAGAGAACTAAATAAGTTAATCTTCTTTTATTCTATAAAAGGAGAGCCTAATAGTACTTAGGTTAGAGAGATACCGAAGTAATTCCGTAAATATTTAGATATCTATCCGCTCTTCTAAAAGTAAACTCTAGGCTCTTATAAGTCTCCTAAAATAGAGAAAGATTGCCTTATAGGAAAATTGCTTTCCTCTAAGCTCCTACCGGAACTCCTCCTAATCTCTAGTATACTCTCGTAGTATATAAATATAGGTAGAAAAATAATCTTTATTTTAGATCACTAGAAAGGTAAGAAAGGAGCTAGATAAGAAGCTTTAAGTTATATATATAGATCGATTAACTCTAATATATTATAATAAAGTATTTTTATATATTATACTAAAGAAGAAATTGCTAGCCCTTTAAGCCTTTTTATCCTTTATTCTAAGAACTCGATTTTAAGTATATAGAAGATATCTAGGGTACTAATTAATCTATAACGTTTATTTATAAGAGAAAACGATTTTAAGGAGTAGTAATCGAGATTAATAATAATTAATCTTAATAACTCGAACGGTAGATCTACGAAAATCCCTATTTAGCCTCGAAGATAGTAGAGCTTTAATAGAACTAATTAGAGAATATAAAAAAAGGTTTTACCTACCTCTAGGTAAAATAAGTATTTATACGACTATTAAGCTTTTAGGAGGTAATAAATTATAGCTACTATCCTAATTATAGAAAATATACGATACTATTCCTAATATCTTAGCCCGGCTATTAGAGCTACTAACTCCCGTATTATTTTTAGCTTAGTATAAGGTAACTAATTTCGTTACTTTTTAGGCCTACTAAAACGCGAAGGATGCTTTTTAAGGCTCTAGATATTACCTAAGAGCTATAAGGGAAATTGCGCTTTAGACTAATTCCTCCGCTAAGGATTACTTCTAATAATTAAATATAAGTATTAACTAAAAAGACTACTTAGAGTTTCTACTTTACCCGTATATACTAATACGACCGAGATATCTCTACTTTATAGGTTATATAGTTACTACGTAAAAGTCTTAGTACCCCTTCTACTACCGCCTTCCGAATTTATAATACCGCCTATTATACGTTAATTAATAATTAGTAGATATCTAACCGGTAGAATTTAGGGTACTAAAACCTTTACTATATTACTATATAGATTAAGTTTCTACTAGAATATACCGCCTATAAGGTTATATATTAAAGATCTACCTATAGATTCGGCCGTATAGAAAGTCCGATAACTCTATTAAGAGCCTCTAGTATAATCTTAGCTTAAAGATACCCTAAATTAGTACTACTATAGTATTACCTACTCTTTGGCGTTTATTAACCGCTAATCTTTATTCTTACGAACCTATCCTAATAGCGATACTATCTCAAACTTGCGGGATATCCTAGCTTAGCGTAACTCCTAACCCCTGTTAACTAGAACCCGAGGTCGGAGCTCTATAGTCGATCCCTATATAATATATATAATAGATAAGAAAGTTTAAGAATAAATACGGAGATAAATAAGCGGCGTTCTACGTTCTATATTCCCCGAAATAGGGATCCTACTATAGTTACGGAGATTACTATCTAAATAAAAGTATAGTAGCTACTGTGACGATCTGCAGAGTTTTCTGCTGACTGACTCCGCCTTTGGACGAGTCAGTTGGTTCTGCCGTGTGTTTCCGCTGACTGACTCCGCCTTTGGACGAGTCAGTTGGTTCTGCCGTGTGTTTCCGCCTTGCAGAGATTTCTGCTGATTGTTTCCGCCTTCGACCCAGGACCCACCCCACAATGTCTTTTGGTCCTGTTGATAGATTCTTTTCTTCTCTTTTCTTTTTCCTCCCTGTACTTAATGTTCTAGTTAAATGCACTCTTTTTGTTAAAGAACTGGCTGGTAACAGCTACCTACCTATTCCGAATCTTCTATTATAGCAACGTGATATTCTGTCCCTAGGACCTCCCTATCGCGTTAAATAGTATAAATATAAATAAGTTATTATTTTTCTTCCTTATCCCCTAATAAGGCTTAATAAATATAATATACGCTATATATATATTATTAGTATAGATAGAACCGCTTAAATCGAGCTTTATTATAATTTTATACCCCTAGCGACCTTTAAGGGGGAATCTCGGCCTACTTCTATAGACCTTATTACGCTAAAGATCTACTTATATTAGATATTATAATTTAGGTTATATCCGATCCCGTTTATCCTAAAACGCGAGTAGGAGAACTATTAGTAAATACTAAGTAAAAGGATCTAAAGGGCGTACGTCCTATTAGTTATTATAACTACGTATTAGACCTAGGTAAGGATAAAGGCTATAGACGTAGCGTGTTATAGGTAACTAGTTAGTAGTTTCGTCTATTTATAAACTCGTTACTTTAATTCTCGTACCGGCTAAAGCGTACTATATAAATTGGCTTAATATACGGTGCCTTCGTATCGGAGGCGATATTTTGGTTAAAACTTCTAGGCTACTAATAAACGGGAAAGAATACTCTTACGTAAACGCGGAAGAAATAATATTAAGAACTTAATAGAGTACGTAGAAGCCTTTTTTTTAAAATGCCTTAGCTCCTAGTAAAGGTATATCCGTAATAATAAATAGAGGATATAAATAGCCTATATTAACCTATATTTCCTATAGTAGTCGTTGAGATAACTAGTTAAGAATATCCTAAAGGTTATATACGGTCTGTTTACGCGTATAGAGGAGAGACTAAAGACAATTAATTAGCTCTCGCTAACGTCGGTTCTCTAGCAAAAAATACTCTATTGTCCCCTTATCATCGATACATCTAGACCCCTACTTATCTTGATTCAATCGCTATAGCCATAAATCAATAGCTAGGTATAAGTCATTAAGACGAGACTCCAGCCCCCGCACTTTCTCCCTTTCTAACTGAAGACTTTGAGACAATGTTTGATAGGTTTCTGTAGCATGGCGTAATGACAGCTTAAGCTGCGATTTTTGATGCTGTATCCCTGAAATCGACCTTTCGCAATAGACATGTAATTTCTGATATGCCACGGAATCGCTGTTGATTCTAAACTCTAAGTGTCCTTGGTACAGTACTTCCCGAAACTGGTGTCACCACCGACACTCTTCAATTGTTTCTCAAAACCTAAATGCTAAGACAGACTAGTCTATATTGGGAGTTATTCCGGAGTATCCCTGTCAGTGGGCCCTGTATTGTTTCTTACGTAGAGTACTCTGGATATATTGCGGGGTGTATTAACCTATAATTTGATATAACTGACACCTCGATACCCCACTTTGGAAGCCTTCGTCCCTTGGTACGGGCAGATCTTAACAATCAATGATTAGTGGTCACACCAAGATTACGCCTTATCTAGCCCTTTCAAAGCATGAGCTTATACACGACATGCTCTGCAGTGGAGAACTATCTATATCGCGGATGGCAAATGCTGCTGGCTGCAATAAGCGTACCATCCTAAGAATCTCTTCCAATATTCGGACATTTCGTAGCGTTAAAGCACCGCCTAATAAAGGTGATAAGCCCTCGACGTATCAGTCCGGTTATGCTAGAAGCCTTTTGTGATTCCCTGCTCCAAAGTTCCACCCTAATCTTAACGATATGTGAGTTTGATGTCTAAGCAGCAAATTCCAGCATTAGTCACGCGCTTACCTCCAAACGGTATATAGTCAAGAAAGGCTGCGTGAAACTTGGACGGGTGCTATGGCGGGAAGACCAGCCGCTCCCCTGAAGCCAGCACGTTTGTCACCCTGGTTCATCTATGTAGACTAAGTGACACGACCGGGAATCTGACAAGTGATACAGATACAGGACTTATTCTCTCAGATTGGCATTTCTTTCTTATCCTCTCCGTTGGGCCAAATTTTTAGTCCAGCTTGAGCTCTCATCTCGCGTTTCTATCGTGAGTTGGTCGGCTTTCAGGTCCTCAAATCCGACTGTTACGTACAGGCCTTGTGATCAAGGGGGTGGAGAGCTTCAGCGAGCGGCACCAGGAGACTAAGGGAATGGGACATAGAAGAGTGGGTGAAGCTTGAAAGTCCTAGTTTACCCGCTCCGCTAGAGCTCCGTTCTGAATAAGAATCCTGGCTACCGCCTCGTGGCCAATGAGTGAGGCCCATCGGAGCGGTGTCCATCCATCTTTGTCCCTGGTGTTGACGTCAGCTCCATTGTCCAAAAGAAGCCTCGCTACCGCTTCATGGCCATTGGATGAGGCCCTCTGTAGCGGTGTCCGTCTATCTTTATCGCTAGTGTTGACATCAGCTCCATTGTCTAAAAGAAGCCTCGCTACCGCTTTATAGCCATTGGATGAGGCCCTCTGTAGCGGTGTCCGTCTATCTTTATCGCTAGTGTTGACATCAGCTCCATTGTCTAAAAGAAGCCTCGCTACCGCTTTATAGCCATTGGATAAGGCCCTCTGTAGCGGTGTCCGTCTATCTTTGTCGCTGGTATTGACGTTAGCTCCATTGTCCATAAGAAGCCTCGCTACCGCTTCATAGCCATTGGATGAGGCCCTCTGTAGCGGTGTCCGTCTATCTTTGTCGCTGGTGTTGACGTCAGCTCCATTGTCCATAAGAAGCCTCGCTACCGCTTCATGGCCATTGGATGAGGCCCTCTGTAGCGGTGTCCGTCCATCTTTGTCGCTGGTGTTGACGTCAGCTCCATTTTCTAAAAGAAGCCTTGCTAACGCGTCGTGACCATTTTTAAAGGCCCGTTCAAGGGGAGTCCATCCATCTTTATCGCTGGTTTTGACGTCAGCTCCGTTGTCCAAAAGAAGCCTCGCTACCGCTTTATGGCCATTAGATGAGGCCCTCTACAGCGGTGTCCATCCATTTTCGTCCCTGGTATTGACGTCAGCTCCGTTTTCGATCAGAAGCCTCGCTACCGCTTCATGGCTATTGGATAAGGCCATCTATAGCGGTGTCGATCCATCTTTGTCGCTGGTTTTAACGTTAGCTCTATTTTCGATCAGAAGCCTCGCTACCGCTTCATAGCTATTGGATGAGGCCATCTACAGCGGTGTCCATCCATATTTATCGCTGGTGTTAACGTTAGCTCCGTTATCGATTAGAAGCCTCGCTACCGCTTCATAGCCACCCGATGAGGCCATCTGTAGCGGTGTCCATCCATCTTTGTCGCTGGTGTTAACGTCAGCTCCGTTTTCGATCAGAAGCCTCGCTACAGCTTCGTGGCCATACATGAGTGCCCATTGAAGCGGTGTCCGTCCATCTTTGTCGCTAGTGTTGACATCAGCTCCATTGTCCAAAAGAAGCCTCGCTACCGCTTCGTGGCCATTGGATGAGGCCCGTGAGAGTGATGTACGCCCCCCCCCCCTATCTTCCTCATCACAGGTCGTTTTCGTCCGCAATAGTAGTTCGACAATGCCTGCTCGACCATATTGGGCAGCCCAAGATAGTGGTGTTCGACTTTCATATTGTTTTAAGTCTTTCCTGTGGTTGAGACCCTCTGTGATGTCGATTCCATTGGAAATCCTCGAAGATGAGTTCAAAAGAGCAGCAACAGCGTCTTTGTTGCTATTAGCCAGCCCAGCAAAAAGTGGGTACTTGTATCTCTCCCCATAAACATGAACCTGCGGGTCCTCTTTGAATCTTGCCCGAATGAGCGCCGGATAACCTTTATCTGCTAGTATATAAAACAGATTCGCGCTAGTCGTATATTGGCGATCCTTGAATTTTTCGAAAAGATTGCTGGTGTTGATCCAGCTGGAGATAGGAAAACACGACAAAAATTCGTCTTGAGGAACCGCTTTGGCCGCAGCGTTGGCATGGTAGAGGATATTTTGAGTGGCATACTCCAAGAACGGGTACTCGGTTAAGATTTCGTTCCGGTCGTCGGAGGTAGATTCTGATAGCAGCCTGTTGATAAACGCACAGGTCAAGGTATGATTGGTGTAGATGTTGCAGCATTGCTTGAGTTTCTCATGGCCTAGGCTCTCGCTGTCAAATCTGAGCTCTGGCCATAATTCATACAGACCCTTGTCCTTGATGAGGAAGTCTCGGACAGATTCATGGATGAATTGAACTGTGGGCTGCCTAGATTTGGTGGTCTCTGCAAGTCCTTTTGAGGAGCTAATGACATATCTCGTAACCGTGTCAACTCCAGCACCAGTTTCTAGGACGGTGACATCTGGAATCTGGCTATCGACTAAACCTTTTAAAGACAAACCAGACCAGAGAGCATGATAGAACTCCTGCGGCCGCAATGGACTTTTTGCGTACAAAATCCAGAGGATGCAAAGCTGGAGAGCTTCCATATTCTCATTGTCACGTTTCAAGATATCTTTGAAAAGTTCAGTAAGGTCACTGGGTATGTCCGCGAGTCTCATTCTTAGAGCCATTCCGCCTCGTCGATACTCCTTGTTGAGAATATCGACAACCAAGACGACCCACATGAAAACGCCAGCAGCCTTACTAAGAATTTGTGGTTGCAGCTCTTCGACAAGCGTAGGTTCTTTGATTATGAGGCGCTTTGTGACGTAGGTTGCCAAGTCTTCCGTATGACCTGATTGATCCTCGAGTGTAAGTCGGAGACCCCGTTGAATGAAGATGTAAGGATAGTGTCGACTCGAAAAGCAGATTCGGAACGGGACGCCTTTAGCCGTAGATTCTTCGGCCAGGTCTTCAAAATACTGGACCATGTCCACCACTTGTTGTTCATCACATTCATCGAGAGCATCGACGAAGCAGGTAAGGGAGCGTTGACCAAGGGTGCAAACCGCATTGGCAAATAGATCCTTGAGAACATTCAAGGAAGGGCAACCATTTTGATTTTGGGGAATCAGATTGGAGTCGTCTAAAACAACCTGGAGGTCGGGGTACCCTTCAAGCAGTTGAAGTAGTAATGATCGATACATCCCTGACATCGTTCTTTCCAAGCGAGCGCCTCGAGCGTTAAAGAAGAAGCAAGCAGTGATAGCATGCTTGTGACGGGCCTTGCCCTTCGTGTTGGAGTATGCGAATTTCATGATTGTCGACTTGCCAGCACCGGGCTTGCCACTAATCCACAAAAAGCCATGATGTTGCGCCAATCTTGCGGAATCGAGCCATGCTTCGTAACAAGGATGGCTGAAAAACCAGCGGCACGTTTTTTTTCTGTTCTTGTTTGATGGTCGTTTTTCGGGAGTCCATTTGCTCGAACTTGAAGGAGTTTAACAAGCGCTGCCGGTGTTCGTGTGATGAAAATTGGTCTATAGGTCCGGTGTTAGCGGCAGCGAGTCGAGATTGTTCCCAAGGATGATATGGTTTCTTACAGGGATCCACCGTGGAGACAATGCTTGTATGCATTTTAGTCACAGGTAACTCCTCAAGCAACTCCCTTGCGTATGCAGCCGCGGTTGCTGCAGCATATCTTTGCCATTCTTTGTTCTTGTGAGAGTCCGAGTAGTCGCAGATTCCCCGAATTGGGAGACATGGGAGGATGTCCATTAGACCGGCAGTTTCCATCTCAAAACATATGACGTCTAGCTGTCGAGCAATGTTGTCCCGGGTAATGCCGTCCCTCATGACTTGGTTCCCTGAGGCAATCGCACCATAATGGATCACTATTTCGTTCGAGACTCGTCTGCTTCGTGGTACTAGCTTTGAAGGGTCGCATCCGTCACAGCTACCACTTAAAGATTCATGATCGTAAGTCGCAGGGAACAGACGATCTGGTAGAACCGGGCGACCATATGCGGGTTGTCCTTCTAGCTTCTGTTCTAAGATAGATAGGACTCGGCTAGGGCCTAGTTCGTGCTTAGAACGGACGGTAGACACAGCCGTACCAAGCAGTTGATGGGGAATTTTAGGTATCGCCGTTCGCTGGAGCTGTCCGTCTCCAAGGACCTTTCCAAGATCACACTGCATTACCCTTGTTCCGACGACAATATCACCCAGACGCACATCAGCCTTGCTTGGCACACCACCGCCAATCCCGACCATCAAACATGCACGGATCGCCGGGAAAGTCCGTTTCATGTTCGTCATAACGATTGCTGCATTGTTTGTTCCATATTGTTCTGTTGGTAAACACGCAATAACGACATTGTGTTGATTCATGTTGCCTAATACGTAGGTGTTTCTATCTTCCGTAGGGGTAGGCAGGGCTTCGTGGAAATCGTCCAGCATGGCCTGGGCTGCTGCCATCTCTATGTGCAGCGCGCAGATCCAGGCGATGGTGTACTGATCGTGTCGTGAGGCAGGCGAACCGTCATGGTGGGAGGTCTTGGGTCGCTTGGACGGGTGGAAATCAGCCGAATTTGGGCCGTAGTTATTGCCTATTTGGATCGCATTGTTGATCCCATGATAATATGTCGATGACATGGTTAGCGTAGCATGCGCTGTCCGTGGCCTATGGCGGAGGATTTTTTGACTCTCAGCTGAACGCGAGGCGCTCTGCTGCATCATCAGGTGACTTTATGCTGCTTGAATAAAATATAAGAACATGTTCCTTGACGTTGCAGTGTAAGCTTTCCGGACCAAGATGTTTTTTATGAGAAGCTTTGAAAGCGCAGTGTCACATCGTGACTAGACCTGGCCTTGCAGAACGCGACTGGTTGACAAAGGGTGCGAATGGTTGATCGTGTGTTTACGTGAGGGGAGATTGTTGCCAGATTAGGATTCACTTTTTGTTTGATCTGTTTGCATAATAATGCTATATATTCTACGGGAACTCATAGTATTAGACCAATGAAACGTTTGTCATTACCCGTGAACACGTTACAGCAGCGCGCGTCAATCAATCTGAGCAGAGGAATTCGCGCTCCGCCTCCAATGGCAACCTTGTGAACTAGAGCTGAGTAGATAGGCGGGAGTGGTGGCAGAGGGAAGTGACATCTTGCCAGATTGCCAGATTTTCGTGGCCCCCTCGAGCTCCTGATATTTGACTTGTTTGCATTGATATAGAAAGTTCCAGCTACACCATACAGTAATGAGACACGAGGTACATGTATCACTTGGCGTAAAAGATCGTATAGGTAATCTAACAGGAATATTGATACTCCGGGTCTACTCCTAATACGGTATAGTAGATCTCGGCATTAGGGTTGGGGAATCAATCGAAGAGTGTAGGTGGTGACACCAGTTTCGGGAAGTACTATAATGCTTTGACTGCTGTTCTTGGTGTAATAGCTTCTCTACCAAGAGAAAGATGTTATCGTCATATTTTGCAGAGTTCGCGTGATCCTAGATTTGAAGCAGAATCAGCGTATGTCTTATGTACTATGAATCAAGGTAGGCTTTACTCGAAGAACGGTTGCTGCAGATAGCGGCGCTACCTCTGGATTATGATATTGGACTTCGGAAGACATAGCTTGAAGAATTTGTTTGGCCTTTATCATTTAATAAAGACCTAAAGGCTTATTTCCTTTATTAGTTACTAACCACTATAGGAGGTGCGATATATAGCTAAATACGAGCTATAAGATAATAATATTTCCTTAATAAATTGTATTTAGTATCGTAGGACTTAGTCGGTGTCGTAAGTTATTTTTAGTGTCGTAAGTCGTTTTTAGTATCCTAGGGAGGTTTACTAAGCCTTAGCAACTTCGGTACGGATATTTTTATCCGTTAGTAAGAAAATCGGGCGGGTATTAGTGTCGATGCTTTAGTAGATACTTCGAGATATATTTTTGTATAAGTAGCGTTATATTTATTACCTCTATTTACGTTATAGGGTAATAGAGGATATATTAAATAATATTTATATACTTTTAGAATTCGTATTGCCTCTATAAGCGTCCTATAATCTCTTAAAAATTTCTATACTAACGTAAAGGTTAAAGCTTATTACTATCCTATTATATTTTTTATAAATTATAATAAGTCGTAGCTAACCTCTCGATCCTATATACGAGGAGATTACTCCCGCGGACTATCGAATTCTATACCTTAGAGGTACGTTATCTAACCTCGAGAGACTATAGTCTCGGTTATAAAGTATAAAGTAAAAATCGTTAGATTTTAAGATTTAGCTAGAAGAAACTATATATAAGATAGGCTATCTTAGGGCTAAGCTTTAATAGTATAAAGAAACTAAATAGATACTCTTATAGTTCTAAGAAACTATATTTAGTATCTTTAGCTCCCTAGAAGATACCCTCGCCCGCGTAACCGCGCGTATATACGAGTCGGAGTAGTAGTATCTAACGCTTTAGGGATCTAATTCTAGAAGTAGAACTAGGGGATATTTCTAAATATTAAATATATTAAGATATTAATTAGATATTAAAGGGCTCTCGGGCTATAGGATCTATATATTACTATCTTATTATACTTAGGCTTCTTTTTATCTCCTTTAGGAAATAGTAATATATATTATAGAATTTATAACCTTATAAGCTCGTTATATTTCTCGCTCCTAGTATTAACTTATTAAGTCGCTAAACTCCTTTATTATTAACCGTTCCTACCTTATAACCTTAAGTAGATACTTATTAATAGTTTTGAACTTAGTCTTTAAGCCTTCTATTCCCCGAGATAAATTATCTATAATATATTTTATACTATCTATATAGTACTCTATACTACCTAGCCGGTACTCTATATTATCGAAGCGGCTATTTAAGCTATTAACCTTATTACCTAGAGTTTATAAAAGGGCATTAAATCGGTTTATCGTACTCGTAAATTGCTTTAAGGTAATAGATAGCTCTTTATACGAGGTATTCTCGGTCTCTCTAGGGTTATACGGTCTAGTTAAAGATAGGTATAGCAATATATCCGCTTAGCTACTAGTCTATTAGCTCTAGTTAAGATATATAGGTAGGTAAGGATATATTATCCTATAGTCCCGTCTATAGTAGTATAACTCTATAATCGAAAAGCCTATAAACGATTCTAGGTATACCTCGGACTTAAAACTATTATTTCCTATAACTATATTATACTATTAAATAAAACGACTTAATTCGTCGAATAAATTAATATCTACCGGTATAATAATTAGGGGTTCGTTAGGGCTAAAATAGAGAAAAGGATTATAGTTACCCTATAGACTATCTAGGTTATTAATACCTAGGGACGCTTTATAGTTATAGTCGTAGTTATAATTCGATATATTTAAGATAAGATAGTAGAAGAGTAATTAGTCTTAGATACCGGATATAGATCTTATATATTAATTTACTTTAAAACGCTAAACTCCTACGTTACTAACTATTAGATAATAAGAGCTAGGTATTAGTTATAGAACCTTAGTATTATTATCTCTATTTGCCCTTTTGCCCCTAGAGGCGATAATAGGAATTAATAAAAGTACGTAGTCCGGGATCTATACTATTAAAAGTAGGTTAAGATAAGAACGAGATAAGAATAAGATAAGAATCTAGTAAGAACTCTACTCTTTCGGTATTAGTACTAGTTCTGTTTATAAATTAATCTATCTAGAGGTCTTATTTACTATAAATATAGACGATATTATTACCCTAGTTATAAAATACGTTAGTTAAATAAAGCGTTCGGATTTATATTTAAATATTTCGCGTTATAAGGCGCTAGAGAAGTATAATTCTTACTTTTACTTTTACTATATAAAATTCGATAGATATTAGCTAGCTCGATATCGGTACTAATAAAGATTCTACGCTTATAATCTAAGACTACGACCGGCTATAGCGTATAGTCTCCGAGTTATACGACTAAGATAACTAATATCTATTATTATATATATTCCTTAGTAGGAAAACTAAAAATTACGCTCTTTAATAGCTCTACCCTCTAAATAATATAAAAAGGTATAAATCTAAAGCTCTAATAAAGCTACGATACGATATTAGGTCTTTATAAAGCCGCTAGCTAGTATTATTAGTTAATAGCGATATCCCGAATACTAACAAATTCTATACTATTAAGAGACTCGATACCGGCGTTAGCTATACCGTTTCTTAGAATAACTATTTAGCGGCTAAAATACTACTAGTTCTATAGTTATAGTTAATATTTATCTTTATAGATATAGTTTATATCTTTATCGATAATACTACCTATCTTAATAAGATCGTATACTTTCTTATTAGCTATTTAAAACTTCGTTCTACGTCCCTCTTTTTATTATAATATTTATTAAGGGCGATATTTATTTATAGCCTATCGGTAATAAAAGAAGAGAGAGGTATATATAATATAGGATTACTCTACCGGAAAGTCTAAGAAAGTAGGTATAACGATCTATTAGGGTTATTCTCTAGCTTTATATCTTTATACCTATAGTATAATTTCTCTAATATTATAAGATTTTAATAAATTAAAGTATTAATTATAGAATAGGTCGACGCTATTTCTTTTATTCGATAAGAAAATTAAGCTCGGCTAAATAGGATATATTTAATAGTATTATTTTAATTAGCTATATAATATATCCTAGAGGATATTTCTTATCTATTTAACTTTATAAAAGCTATAAAAAAGGATCGCCCTATTAGTTTATATATAGAGCTATATTTAGCGTATTATCTTAAGGTCGGCTACTACGTTAATCTCCCTCTCTCTATATTAACCGCTATAATTTCGTCCGCGCTTTTTATAGACTACTACGTGCCCGAGATACTTAGTAGGTCCTATCTTAATATTTTATTTTATACGCTAAGGCTAATATTATTTTTTAATAGCTATAAATCCCTATATAGTATTTAGAACTTTATATCGCTTTATTATTAATATAATATATTATATTTCGAAGGATCTACGGCCTAATATATACCTAGTAAAAGAAACTAATTTAGTAGAGCTTTACTTTTCGCGCTTATATAAACGGTTATCGGAGAATATAGTCTCCTTAGTAAATTTACGTAAAGAATAGCTTAAGTCCTTTAGTAGTTAGGTATCTTATATATAAAGTAGTTATATTTATCTAGTCTACCTTTTATATTCCGTATAATATATTCTAGTATATAGATATATAATATACAACCGCTATACTTAGATTTTCGGAAGCCCTACCTCCGGGCTAGAATATTAGTTTACTATTAAAGACTATCTCTATTACCTCTACTAGAGGCCGTTAGTAGTAGATATTCTTCCGCCGACTATAAGCCCTATAATTCTTACTATCGATAATAGTAGAGTTAGGGGGGTAATTCCTTTAGAGTTTCTACTTCTAGTTTAGGAATACCTACGCCCGTACGCGATATAAGATATAGTAGATCTCGCGCTTAGTATAAGTTCCGGTTAGTTAGGTACCTTATATATATTTTTAGATTAGGGAACCTAATTAAGGATTTTAGGTAGTCTTATCGTCCTAGGTTTATTTGTAATAGTATAGGATATTATAGAATACTCGGAGCGATTTAATACCTTAGTATATCGAATTTTCCGTATAAGACGCT